TTGTTTTAAGGACATTATCAGACATGCACTATGGAAGCCATTCTGAAGCAGCCAGGGGGGGATTCTGCATGAGCCAAAAAGCAGAGACAGGACCAATTGTCAAAATTTTGGTGTCGATCATTCGATTTCATCCTGGACACTACAGAAAATGGGCTAAAAGTGTTAAAAACTGGAATTATCCTTTAAGCATGACTGAGCATTTCCAACGTCTTTTTGACAACATTCTTAAAAGGAAAAGGTCAATCAAAGAAAACCAGTGCGGCCAAGTAAGCAGACTCAGTTCTGGATGTTGTAGAAATGATGCAAGAAAAGGAGTTTCCGGCTCATGTCATCAGCCGGAGTTAATGCATCCTTTCACCTTTTCTTTGCCTTTCTTTATTTCTTAAAATCTGAGTTCCCTACATTAGATCCATATTATTACATGTGCCACCCACATGACCAGAAGCTCAATGTGTTACATCTCAGTAGAGTTTTCCTGGGTGAACCAAAGGGCAAACCAGCCAAAGAAAAACAATGACAGCTTATTTGTGGGAATCTGCTGGACCCCACACCGAGTTAGAGGAAATTGTCGAATGCTTTTCTTTAAATGCCGTGTTTTGCTGTGATCCAAGAAGATTTAACGGCGGCTGCTGGACTTCATTTCATCCACCAGAAGCAACTGTAAACCTCTCTCTGTGGAAAGCCGGTCCTTTGTTTCTTGTTTGGAGGTGTTTGTTATCCAGCTGCAGCAGCTCACAACTTCCATCCCCTCCTGTGTCCAGAAAGCAGCTTTTGGTTAATGACTCCATCAGCTGCACATAGAAACATACGCACAACCGTCGACTCTATTATTACTGCTCCCTAATTATGCCCCATATGTCTGCATGGTGGGGTTGAGTGTATAAAATCCACAGGTGTGTGTGTGTCAGGACAAATTACAGCTCGTTTCCCTGAGGTAGTCTCCTCCCTTCCTCTTCTCTGCTGCTTCCTCGATCCTCTGCCTCCCTCTGAATCATCTGTTATCCTTGTTACCTTTCCTCGTCTCCTTCTGCCTCCATCTCCCTTTGAACCCTGGATTTTTTGATGTGGGAAAATGCTGAATAATCTTTCCGCCGCTAGTTTTAGCAGAACTGACCCATCTGCGTTATAATCTGCCACCAGCACAGTTTATTTCATTGGTTCTACCGTTATTGCTTTTCGGCATAATGGAAGGTCATTTTAAGGCTGTCTTTCTTTGGGAATAGCGTGTTTGTGTGTGTGAACAGTGTTCCAGTGTTAAACACTGATCTGCTGCAGCCTTTTTCAGCCTTTGGTTTGTTTTTAGAGCGAAAAGCTCATTAGAAACAAGTGAAAATAAACACTGTCGATTGCCTTTGGCTCAGCCTGGTGGCCTTATGTGTGTCCAAGGTTTTGTTTTGTCAACTGGAAGATGTCTGAATACAGTCAAGTAGTGCATTTTTCTTTTGAGTTGCTTGTCACTATCAGATATTTCCCTTTTTTTTTTTTTTTTTCCTCAAAAAAACAAAATCCTGCTCTTGAACTGGGGTTTGCAGAATGGAACTGATGCATGAATAAAAAAGGCTGCACAGGTTTTCATAGGCATGATAGGAATGCAATGATACTCGTGTCAAGTCTTCGTACTTGTACTTCTAAAAACGACCTGATACTCTGAACCAATGCCACTTCTATATTTGACAAAGATCACAGTTTAAAAACATTTAAATTTACTGTAGCTGTAGCTCTCGACGCCATTCCTGTTGGGGAAGAAAAAAAACTCCACTAAGCTGTACTAGATCCAAGGTAAAAGTCTAAATATATCTTAACACTTTAAAAAAATAACACCAAAACTTTTCAGTTTGACAAAGCTTTTTTTTTTTTCAGCGTTTGTACTGGTACTCTTACTAAAATTGTCAGTACTTGCAATCTTACTCGATTAGGAGTAATCTGGAATGGGCTAATCTCTACCTGCTAACACAGATTATATATTAGAACATCTTTGTTAAAATACCAGATTTTTGGGATGTCCAAAAATAACAATCTTAAACACTTTTCCACATTTAATTTGACATTTTATTTTGAAATTTAGTAGCAAAACAAATTTGTTACTGGGTGCCAAAAAGAAATGGAAACACTGCTGAAGGGCTTCTGGATTCAGTGTTAGCTTTATGCCTTCTTAGTTTGAACCTTACATAAAACTTTACGCATCTCGATTTATTCTTTAGTTAATGCCATCGTTTCTGTAGGTCTCATTGTACAAAAATAGATCCTCCTAATCTTTAGTCCGTTAGGAAAAGGTCAAAAGTTTCATTTTATAAGTTGTATACAACAAAGAAATTAGCATTAATAATCTGATTAAACATGTGAAAACGGTGGCTTTAGAAAAACTGAAGATGTCTCCAAAATCTTTAAAAGAAGCAAAAGCAACACAGAATAAGGAGACATTCATTTGTGTTAGAAAGTAGGGGAAAAATACCAAATCCCTGGTCAAAAAAAAAGAAAAAAAGTACTTAGATATGATAGATACACTACTGTTTATGCTCTAAAAACATTCTAAATGACTTCGTTTCGAGTAAATTATGGACGCTACCCACTCAGGACACTTGGAATACATTGGACGAGCAGTATGGAGGAACATTGACACGTTTTTTGTGGACTTTTATGGACCTTTCTGTCTCGGGCGCCATAGACCTCCATTATTTGAATGTCAGCAGACAGCAAGAAACCTCCCAGATCTCCAGATGCATTTGAGATATCAAAAAAGTACTCCAGAGTGTTGTTCAGCATGGGGGTGAGTAGAAAATGAAGGCTAATCATGTTTTGGGTGTACTATTCCTTTAAGAGTCAAGTTCTAGAAGTCATTTTTGGCACAAAAGACACATTATTAGAAGAACAACGTGATAACAGTGAAACACTGAAGTGGCAGCATTATGCTCTGGGTCAATGATTAAATCTGTTTTTCCCCTTACAATCTTATCCCTCTGTTCAGTGACTTTCACTTCCTGTGTGGCTTTACTGTTTTGTGCACCGTGTCAAGGCCGATTTATACTTCAAAACTAGGTGTCGTGGTCAACTCAGAGACGTCCCCGCCCCTTCCGCAGACACTCCGTTGTCGGACAAACTAGCCCCCACTTCCTCTTCCCCTGGGACGTATCTCGACCCACAGCTAGTTTGTATTGTTCCTCTTGCATTGTGGCGTGGAATAACATAGCGCAGACCACGCTTCAATATGGAGCATAAATCAAAAATGTCTGCATCGTACCTGCGACCTGCGGGAGTATAACCAGCCATTCACTGTCCCATCACTGTGGGACAGAGCATGTGAGCAGAGCGGAAGAAATATGGTGAAGCGCAGAGCACTTTTCAATTTATTTGCCAGAGTGAGGATTTCGCTCCACTCCAGTTCGCTCCAATGCGCACATGGCGTCAACTTTATTCTAATTCAGGTTTCACTTAAAACCTAGGCCAATACCTATGCTGTAGACTGTGCCTATTATCTGTTATAGTCTATGTTTCAACTTTACCAAGGATTCGCCAAGACGAGGATTTCATATTGTGTGATAAAAAGAGGGATACAATATAAACTAACTATACTTAACAACACAGAGTGAGTTTACATAAAGCGATCGTTGTGGTAAGAGCCAGATTTTGAAAACGGATCGCATACATGCATTATACGCTATTATTTGATTTGCAATGGGATGTGAAGTGACCTTTTTAATGTAGTCTAGCAAAATAAATTACTAATTAAATAGAAAACGTGGGGCAACATCAATGGAGCGGGGTGTTACGTAATTTAACAGCCAGTTAAATAAGACAATACACATGTATCAGTCACATCATTAAATCAAACGCCGTGTGTCCCAGGGCCCTGGCATAATTACATGATGGAAAAAATGTCAGAAAATACCTTCTTCTGAAAATTTGAGCGACCGTGGAACGATTTCGCTGGAACTGAGCGGGGAGTGGGAATTGCACGGCACTCCGCTCCGTTCACACGCTCCGCTGTGGGATAAAGGTGAGCAGAGAGCAGCGGTCATCCATTTTATGTTGTTTAGTGCGAAACGATACATGTATGCAGCATCGATTCCAGCTACATTGAAATGTTTTTCCTATCAAAACAGAGCGCTAAAGTTAGACTTTATTGATCTTTATAACATGAAAACATCTTTAACAGGAACAAGAAGTTAGTTTATTGTAACTGTAGCTGTATTTTTTGACAAAATATCTGTTGTTATGGAGGAATAGATGCTGCAGCATCCAGAATATGTAGCGTTGATGTTAGCTTTTTTTTTCCCTTCACTTTAAGGCCGATTAGAGCCTATAAAAGGCGATTTTAATATATGTTCCTTTTTTATTTGGATACAGATCAATATCAGGGACAGATCCTTCAGTTTCTTAATGTTTACTAAAGCAATGTATACATTTTTTCCTAGCAGTTTGTATATTCAGTTTATTAATTTGACATATATGTTGGTTTATTGTTTTTCTGTTGAATCTCTTTCCTAGATTTTGTGGAAGGTTGACGGCGTTCAGGAAACATGGCGGTTAACTGATCCATCGGCGCTTCTGTCTGTCTGGATTTCATTCATCAACTCTTCTACTTGTGTGATTTACGGCTACCTTCAGCCTCACACTATGTCACACACCCATCGCTTTTTTACTTGAAACCACACAGAAACATCCCAGCAATGCGTAACAAGTCGGTCCTCACCACCGAGCCAAACACGCACTGGGCTCGTTACAGGGGGAATGTTTGTGGGATGTTTTGATTTGGGCTGTTTTGGAGATGCTCTCCAGGGGCAGGGTTTCCATGGGGACGGAGACAGCTTAACTAAAAATGTCTCCAAAAACAGGTTTTAAAGGAGTCGTTGTCCTGGCAGCGCTATGGGATCCTCAAGAGGCTTTTTATTTTTATTTTAACGATGAGTTTCTCCTTTTTTTTTCCTTCCATGTGAATGTACCCTTGTTAGCCTTGCAGCTAACCTTCCCTCATCTCAACCAAATCCCATCTTTGTCTTTAGATCGAGGACGGAGGAAAGGCTGCCCACTGCAAGAGGCTTAAAGTCGGAGACGAACTCATCAACATTAATGGGTCCGCCCTTTACGGCAGCCGACAGGAAGCTCTCATCCTCATCAAGGGCTCCTACAGGATACTGAAGCTCACAGTGAGGAGGTAAACACGCGCAGAAAGCGCCACACAGAGACGCACACAGGTACAGGACGTCGCTGTACCTGCAGGGATGAGCTTTAGTTGAGCAAACTCACAGAAACAGATGTTTTATTGTCGCTCTGCTTCTTCTTCTGCTGTGCTGTTGACTCACAGCGATGGGAAAGGAAGGAGGATGTTAGAAGGACATGATTGTTGTTTTCCTGTTGTGAGGATTCTGTTCACCTGCCGCCTTTAAAATGAAATCTCTGCATTTATAACACCTGATTTGTTACTGACTAAAAACATGAGCTGTGAAGACTTTGGAAAAAGCTTTAAACTACTAAAGGTGAGAAAGCTTCACTTTGTTCTTATGTAAAAGAACTTTAATTAATGTTGAAACTGTAGGGGCTGTAGTTTCTCCTTCTGTCCTACAGGTAGGGACATTGGTCATCTCTCAAGTACTAGTTACAAAAAACAGTGTTTAATGAGTGTTCCTGACCTCAGCTATCTTTTTGTCCAACATCAGAGTCTGACCTCATTAATATGATTCTGGAACAAAGTTTGATCATCTGTAAATCTATTCTGATGTTGCTGCAATGGATGGAATCAGCGACAGGATCATACCTTTATGCTACCTTTACAACGCACGTAGCAGGAGGAGCAAAAACGCGCGTGTTGCTTCATTTTTGATGCTTGTATTAGTTTAGTTCTGATGCATGGCTGTAGCCTCTTTGCTGCTCCATCTGCTCAGTCGAAAATTGGGTCTGATGCGCGTTGGGCGGAGCTACCCTATCCTTTTTTTGCACGTAACAATGGCATCTATATTTGCTTTGATCCGTGGGTAAAAAGTAGTTTTCATATGTTTTTAAGTGAGAAAGTCCCCCTGAAAACTTCATCTGTGCAGTCAGTTCATCCAGATTACTATCCTGCCTTCATATATTATTTCTGTCAGAGCCGCTCAGACCCCCGTACACCGGCGGTGCGCTGTCACTAGGAATCCCATTAAACAGCAGCCTCTGGCCCGCTGTAGGAAATCTGCTTGGGGCCCTGTCCCTTCTTATGACATAAACATATGGCAACTCCACTCGAACAAACTGTATTGAACCCTTTTCTTAGGAAACTCTATTGGAGTTTCATCATATTGTTACCTGTATTTGCTATTATTTTATATTTAATTGGTGATCTAAAGCAGCCAGAAGTAGAAAACAATAATTCTAAGTCTTGAAAGAAAGTACTGCCCTCTAAGATTGAGCTCTGCCATTTAACAAGATGCGAAAAAAACATTGTTTTAGCTTATTTTTATCCTTTTTATTTAGATCTGAGGACAGGACAGACAAATGGAACATCTCAGAAATGACTTGCGTAGCGATTTTAGACAATAAAACTGTTTTTTTACTTGTAGAAAACGAACGGTTGTTGTTGACACAAAGTTAAAAGTAGTGTAGCGTAATTGGCTACCGAGTTAAAAGAGGCTAACCTGTTAGCTACTGAGCACAGCTAGCCACAGCGCTACCCAGCTCTCCCCCTTAATATCAGGGTCTAACAGTTAATTTGTTCACCATAAACAAATTTTTTCAGTTTTGTAATCGATCAGGTAAAACTTCATCGGTCATTAGACACGCTAACGCTACAGAAGCTCCCAATTAGGCACACTGACGCTGCGTGATGTTATTATTGTTGTCTGGGCAACCATAATGTTTTAGATCATGTGGCAACGTTCAGCCAATCATGTAGCGTATCGTCACTAGCGTGCGCAGGACCCCAGTGAATCTGACCACCCGAGCAGGTCTGGTACACCGGCCTCTTCACCGGGATAATAAAATCAAACATATTTTACCGGCAGGTACTTTAATAAACGTTATACGCTAGGCGTTAATAAACTTTTTCAGAGGAGTGATCATAGCGATCTGCATCAGCAGTGCTGTATCTGTCTCCCTGCCAGCTCCCAGTTTAGCTGCTCTGATTGGTTGATGTGGCGTATTGAGCAGCAAAAGTTTAATTTTTCCAACTTCAGCAGCTGCTCCTTCTGAAGCGCATCGCATGTAAGATGCTCAGAAAATCACGACGCGCTGATCAGATACGCTGCCACTCCAAACGCGCTGCAAGACCTTTAGCTGCACCAAGATGCATGTCAACCATTGACTTTGTATGTATACCAGCTGCTTCTGCTGCCTCTGCTACTTTAGGTCTGAACGTAGCATAAGTGAAGGTAGATGAGCAAATATGTTTGATGTCCATTAAGGAATTGCTTAAGAAGCACCGATTATTTAAAGGCTCAACATCCAAGCAGTGTTTTTTGTCGACAGATGCTTGAAACGACGGATGAGGAAACCCCTCATATTTAACGACACAGTGGAGGTTTATTTATGTTTGTCCAGCAGGACCTCAGAAACTCACAGAAGGCGTTAATTTTGACTCCTAAGAACTATTGAGAAACTGCTTCAGGAATAGATAGGAAACGGAATAGTTTAGAATAAAACAATGCTTAGACCTAATCTACATAAAGAAGTGTTTTTTTTCCTGTTTATCGTTAAAGTACACACAGTAAGTGCATTTTGTCATATTTGGCTAAAGTTTCGGTATTGTATTGGTTCCCTTCAAATGGTGGGGAACATAATAAAAAGAACAGTACAGTTTTTTTTTCTTCCTTTTTCTTCCACTACTGACCTTTATTTGACTCCAGGCTGAAAGGAAATCAGGTTGAAAGAGAAAGAGAGACAAAGGCGGCCAGGACTTCAACCTGGGGCAACCTCACCACCCCATGGACCTATACCATAGGGATTAAATCTCTCCAAATCAGATTAATCTTTTTTTTTTTCTTTCTCTTTTCTTTCACAAACAATTAGGTCAATTTCACCTGAAAAGTTTAACTAAATCTGTTAAAAACAAAAAAACTAAAAAGCTGCTAGTAAAACACGTGAGCCACAGGAAACTATGGAAATATGATGCACAAAATGTTTGCAGCTTTAGGAATGACACGATGGGCTGGTTCAATTTGAAGTTTTCAACTAAGAATAAAAGTGATACATAGCTCATTGGTATAAAAAAAAAGATTTAATCTTTATCCATGCTAAATTTGATTAATAAAAGCAGTTTGTTGCCTCGTCCTACTATCTCGTCACTTTTTAGGGTTTTTAATCATCTTTAACCATAATAACTGCTCACACATTAATCTTAAAGGGATAGTTCGGTATTTTTGACATGAATCTGTATGGCATCCCCATCACCAGTGTCATGCAATCACACTGACTTACCCCTGGCAGCGTCCTGTGAGCAGAGTTCTCGTCCAGTTTTGGTCAAGCCGAAAGTAGTCCGGCAGGTTTGCTAGAGCCAGCGAAATAAAACGTTTCTCTTCCCAAAACATTATGTGTTCAAAAGAGTGATATTTTTGCATCCCAAAAACGTTGTAGTGGAAAAAGTCACACGTCGTGATCACTTGGTCCTATTTTCTCTCTGTACGTATCAGTGCGCGCCGTCATTCTGACAGCTAGGGCCTACTAACCTGACAACAGCCAGATGCATGTCTCCCTCCGCCCAGCTAGGAGCTAGGCGGAGGGAGACATGCATCTGGCTGTTGTTGAGCTCGCTGTCAGAATGACGGCTCGCACTGATACGAACAGAGAGAAAATAGGACCAAGTGATAACGACGTGTGACTTTTTCCACTACAACGTTTTTGGGATGCAAAAATATCACTCTTTTGAACACATAATGTTTTGGGAAGAGAAACGTTTTATTTCGCTGGCTCTAGCAAACCTGCCGGACTACTTTCGGCTTGACCAAAACTGGACGATAACTCTGCTCACAGGACGCTGCCAGGGGTAAGTCAGTGTGATTGCATGACACTGGTGATGGGGATGCCATACAGATTCATGTCAAAAATACCGAACTATCCCTTTAAAGCATGTTCAAACCTTACCTTCCTGCTCTTTATTCTCTGACCGGATCCTGTCCGGATCCCATTGATTTATCTTTGCATAGCTTCAGTTATAACATAAACACACCCTGAGGTCTGATCCCGCTGTTATTCCATCGCCGCCTCCTGGTACAGAAGGTGGACCAGTTTTCTCTCTCCTCACATATTAAGTCATTGTTAGCGTCTTGGAGAGAAACCAGCAGCAGAAACATTCCCCCCTTCTGAAATAAAGTCCGGTTGGCATTTCATTGGAGGATGTGGGTTAAACCTGCAAGGCAGATTTCTGAGGTCATCTAACAACGTTTCCTCATTTAAAACCCCATGTTTCAGTTCAACCAGCTTAAACAGCTGATATGATTGCATCTTACTGTGCAATTGAAATTAGTATTTTATTAAATGCAGCTATTAAGCAGAAGGTATTTTTAAGTATTGCACGACTGGTGCAAAAATAATAATAGCCTGGGATGGTAACAGATGGCTGAAATCGGGAAGGGTGTCTGGCTTTTAGAAGCTGCAGGGAGTTGCTTCTTTTCCTGCAACAGCAGTGATAAATAGCAGCAGAATGCGTAATTGTTAAAAATTCAGACAGGTTGACCAGAGGATAGACACCCAGTTAGTCACGATCTGGTATGTAGACTGCAGGGGACTTTCCAGCTGCTGGAGCGTGTGAATGTGCTCATGCTGATATTTCATCAAGCATAGCAGGATTTATGTGACGGTTTAATGGGAATGTGCAGGAAACTGATTACTTATTTCTTCTTTAGGAGGATATTTTTTATTATTCTGACAGATTAGATTTGGACTGACTAGGCCATTTCACCTCTGCTGCATGTTTTGGGTAACCTGACAGTAGCCAGATTGATTTGTGTAGAACTAATTTGACGTCCACATTATCAGTCTAAGATGGCTGCCGTTCAGCCTGTCCGTAAAAAAGAGGGACGTTTAGTACATCAGCCGATTGGATAACGTGCTAGCTAGAACCCGCCTTCCATAATACTCTTTCAGCCAATCGTAGCATCACAATAGGATTCGTCTGCAGCTTTTTGAGGACTGGAGTAAGCTGATAAATCAGTCTTTTTTTTAAATCCTGTCAGAAGAAAAGCACAGACA